GCAGGAGCATTGGCTTCTTCACATGAAGGAAAATTTTTTTTAGCAATGTTATAACATTATATATATATTAATATATATATAAATATTTTTTTTAATTTGTATCACCATTAAAGGTCACGTGACATAAAATTTTATTGCATTTTTTTGAGCACAACTTACAATTCTGAGTTTTGAAGATTTTTCCCAAAATTGGCCACAAGGCGCAGCAAGTTGCGGGACTAGGTGACTTGCACCATATTACTTATATTATTATTTTCTTATGCCGGGAAGTTCTAAGATATTATTTTTATTTATTATTATTTAATTGTAATATTATATTATGCATTTTTGTATAAAAAGATAAGCTTTCCGTAATTAGTGAAGATAACTTGTATTTTTTAAATAATAATTAAAACAATTAGTATTTTGACGTAAGGAAAAAGGGTTTCCTTACAACAATACAATTTCTTAAATAGGAATAAACACACTGGTCTTTGAGGAAACTCTTGCTCCTAGTAAAAAAAAATGAATGAAGGTATTTTTTCTTACACAGAAAATAACTATTTTAAAAATAAATTAATTTTTATAACAACTAAATAAACTTATTTTTTATTTTTTTATAATAACCAGCTGGTAAGTATTATATTGTATTATAAATCAACTTTTATAATTTTTATATCTAATTAATAAGTTTAATTTTATTTATTTATAATAACCAGCTGGTAAGTAGTATATTATAAAACTAACTTTCATAACTAACGTAAAACAATTTTTTATTAAAACATCAATTAATTAATAAATTTATTTTTCTTTATAATAATATAATAACCAGCATGTAAGTAACTTTTACAACACAAAATAAATTTTTATAACATCATCTAATTAAATATTCTTTATTTCTTCATAATAACAGCTGGTAAATATTATATTATATTATATTATATTATAACTTTTACAACACATTGTCTAATTAAATAAATTTATTTTTTGCATTTATAATAACAATTGAAGGTAAAATAATTTATAAATTTATCTTTTTTATAACTTTTAAATGAATGTCCATTTTTATTATGTTGAAAAATAATTCTATTTTATTTTTAATTTTTTATAATGAATAATAAGATAACACTAAGGGGTTTGAAGAAGGAAAAGAAGAATATGGAACCTGTTTTGTTTGTGCAGGATATAATACTAATTACCAGTGGTGTCAATCATGTGATCCCAAATTGTTAGCTCAAAGTTGGACTAGCAGTGATAATGACAAATTAGATGAAATAATCAGAAATACACAGCTTCAAGCAAAAGGATTTGATAGTTATCATTACCTTGAATGGATTCCTTATGACCAACTTACAGTTAAAGAAGGAATAGGTGAAGGTGGTTTTTCAACTATGTACAAATGTCATTGGTTAAATGGTCCTAGATATATTAGTAATAATAAAAGATATTATTGTAGTAATGGCAATGTAGCGTTAAAAAAGGTTAAAAACTCTCAAAATATTTCTGATGGGTTTTTAAAGAAGTAAATAATTTGATACAATTAATTGACAATTAATTAATGGTTTTAAATAATATATTAATTTCTTATTGATTTCATAAAGCTTCGAAATCACATTAAATTTATAGGACCTTATCACAAGGGCATTGTTAATATTTATGGCATTTCACAAGATCCAAATACAAAAGAATATGTTCTTGTAATGAGATATGCAGCTGAAGGAGATTTTAAAAAATATCTAAAATCAAACTATACAGGATGGAATGATAAAATCAAAAAACTTTATAATATTATCTCAGGTTTAAACACATTTCATCAAGAAAAACTTATACATAGTGATCTTCACAGTGGCAATATTTTATATTTTCAATATTTATCCCAGGCAATGATTACAGATTTAGGGTTATCAGGCTCAGCTGATCAAGAATCATCAAGTGAAAGTAAAAATGATATATTTGGAGTACTGCCATATGTTGCACCAGTGGTATTAAATAAGAAACCTTTTACACAAAAATCTGACATCTATAGCTTTGGGATTTTAATGTCAGAAACATCAACACATCAACAGCCATTCCAAGATCAACCACATGATATAGATCTTGCTTTCAAGATCTGTGATGGCTTAAGGCCTAGTTTTTCAGATAATACTCCAGAATGTTATATCAGGTTAGCATACAAATGCATGGATGCTGATCCTGAAAAAAGACCAACAGCAGATGAAATTTTAGAAACTATTGCTTTTTGGAAAGATGCAGTTGGCACAATTGGTATCAACAAAATCCTAAAACGCAAACTTAATAAATCAGATGAATTAAAAGAAACAAGAAAAATATTTAAGGAAGCAGATAAAAAACCTTTCAACCCTTCAACAATTACAGCAACTGTTCATCCAAATGCTGTTTATACAAGTAGACTATTGAATTTTACAAATCTTTCTCAGCCTGTAAATTCCAATAAAGTTACAATCATTAGTAACAATAATGGTAATTATTATCAATTATTTGATTATTAATTTTAAAATTCAATATTAATATTAATGTTAACATCATTTTTATTATGTTATAAATTATCATATTTATAGATTCTCATCAAATGGATTTAGATATTTAAGACCTATAAATAATTTTCACTCATTTGATTATTGGAATTTCACATCAAATTTTTTTATTATCATGAGAAAGCATTATTTTTATTTTAATGGAATGATCAATCACTTTATTTATTTAGGTATCAACATGTTGTTTCTTTTTAATTTTTATTGGCTAAATTTATTAAATTTTTTCTTTATTATTTTTATATTCTTTTCCTATCGTTTTTCATTTTTTATTGATAAATTTCTTCATATTCACCTAAGTATTCTCCATTGAGTAGTCTTTTGTCTTCTTTATTTTCTTTCTCATAATAAAATGTCATTTTGATATCAAATTATTTTCTTTAGTTGTAAATTGTTATTTTTTGATTTAATTTTTTTGATTATTAATTTTTTCTATTAATTTCTTTTCTGATTATTAATTATTTTCTATGGTTGGCTCAGTCTAAGGACCTCCTATTGCTGCGCCATGTGACCAAATTTCAAAATAGCAATTTTGTATTTCATTCAAAAATGTAATAAAATTTTTCAATAAATTGGACTTCACGTGATTTTAGTTTTCTTACTGCCAAATTTAGATATGATATTCGAGAGCTAGTCTAAATTTGATAATATTTTTCCTAAATTTAGAAATGATCTTAGTGGACAAATTCCTTGTGAGCATAGTAAAGTACATGTTTTAAAAAAGAATAGAACTCTACAACAAATAATTTTTTTGAGAAAATCTCTCTATTACATTAAAACTAAAGACATATTCTATCAACTAATAGAGCTATTTTTTTAAAAGGTAGGACAGAAAGTGACTTCAATACTTTTAAATTTGCCCAAAATTTAGGAGGTCTTTAGACCAAGCCAACTATATAACATTCCATATTATTATTAATTCGTGGTCCACTGATCAACAATAGAAATTGATTAATAAAAACTGGGTGATTGGCATATATAAATTTAAAAAAATGTATTGAGTGACAAAAGTTGTATATTATGAAAAAATATTTTTTTGTTATACAAAGTCATCAGGAAAATGGGTACAAATATTATGTGTATATAATACACAATTGCAGGGATTAAGCATATAATATGCATACAAATTGTGTATTTTTTTATGTATGCAAATTGTACATATATTATATGCTTAATCCCTGCAATTGTGCATTATATATGCATAATATTTGTACCCATTTTCCTGATGGTCACATGAAATTACACAAAGTTATAGATAGGCAGTGTTCGAAATTCGACTGCGCCTTTACATAAACTAATCTAATTTTAGAAATTATCTGCGGTTAATTTCCATATTTGGTTAGTGCGCGCTGATTCCGCTGATTGAATTTCGAACAGTGTAGATAGGAACTTGATTTTTTAAAAAATGTAAAAATTATCTAGAATTTGAGTATTCAAGTAAATTTTTACTCGAATGAAAATTTTTACTTTCTTTTTCATTTTTTTTAGTTGAAAGAAAAACTCCATAGAAATAGAAAGGATAAAAAATATATATAGATAATTAAGATAATATAAGTTAATATAGTATTAAGTAATAATAATAATAATAATAGACGGAACAGAATTATCAACATTACAAAATTCTGTTAGCTGTTAGTATTAGCATTAGCATTAGTAAATACCATCTTATCAAATTTTTACAAAATAAAAATTATATTGACATTCATACAAACATAGAAGATGACAAATGTTATACATGGAAGAACAACAATAGTACAAGTAGGATAGATCTCATATGGATGCCAAATAATATGCTAGATGAAGTTTTCTTCTGTGAGACATGGAAATTGCCACTATATTCTTCTGACCATAGAATGGTCATAACATACTTACACAAAAATAATATTATTTTTAATACAAAGGAAGTTAATATAAAAAGGAAACAAATGAGAAGATAAGTATTTTCTTTCGACAACATGAAAGAAGAAGACTGGTTAAAATATGCTGAAACAAGTGACAACTTATGGAATGACTCTCAAATGAATAAATTTAAATTTCCTGAAAATCCTGGTCATCATGATCTGAATAGAATGTGGGATGCAGTAAGAAATACTCTCATCAAAACAGCTGAAAAAACAATTCCAAAACGATGGGTATCAGAATCATTCAAAGACATTAAATCAAAAGAATTGATCAAAAATTATAGCTATCTCAGGAAGGTTAACAAAATTTTAATTAAATTCAACAACATAAAAATTTACAATGACAAAATACCTTCTCAGACTGAATGGAATAAAGACATAAAGATTTTAAATAATATCATCAATAATGGTAAATTTGAAGAACTTCAAATACAAGAAAGAATACACAATGGAAACATAAAACAAATAAAAAAAGATATCAAGCAAATACATAAATTATTATACACTCTATGCCAAATAGAAGAAGATAAGTGGAGAGAAGCACAAATAAAGTTTTTCTCATTAAAAAGATGCAACAACTTTAACTTAGAAAAAGGAAAATTTATTTCATCATGTCTTGAGAGAAGCAAACGTAAGATAACCCTGGATAAAATAATGATTGAAACAAAAGATGGCCTAGAGCTTATAACCAATTCTAGTACTATTAAAAACCAAGTTAATGAACACTTTCAAAAAATTGACAGGGTTCCACCAAATCAAGAAATACAAATAAATGAAAAGTGGAAAAGACAATGTGAACCTTTAAATTTTATCAATGACAAATGGTATAAATATATAATGCAACCACCTACATTTGAAGAATGGTACAAACTTGTCAAAAGCTTACCTAACAATAAGGCTGCTGGTCCATCAAAAAATCACAAATGAAATGATTAAATATGCAGGACAAAATATTAATAAAGCAGTATGGAGATTAGTTTGTGCATGCCTTAAATGTGGTGACATTCCAAATGAATGGAGGGAAGCAGTAATATACCCAATACCCAAACCACAAGAATGGGAGGGCCAACTAAAAAATACATGACCAATAACTCTACTTGAAACAGTACATAAAGGTTTAGTCAAGCTTGTTTACCAAAGGTTATCGATGATCTTAGCAAAAAAGAAAATACTTAAAGGTGGAAATTATGCAGGTTTACCAGGTGGTTCATGTTACGATCCTATACATATATTAGAAAACATTATTCATGATACTAAAAACAAAAATCAAGAAATATGGATACTCTGTCAAGACATTAGCAAGGCTTATGACTGCATTAACATTAACATGTTAAACAAAGCCATGGAAAGGATTAAATTACCACCCTTGTGCAGGAAATTCATTATCAACTTATTTTCAAGAAGAACTAATACTGTGATCACACAATATGGTAATACTGATCCTTATCAAATCCTTGTGGGAATTGATCAAGGAGAAGTTATATCACCTCTCTTATGGGTAATTTACTATGATCCTTTGCTGTGTGAATTAAACAATAATGTAACAGAAGCATATTCTATCAATCACACATGGATAAACAACTTAGATGATAAAACAATAAACAAAATAGAACATAAAATTAATAATCTAACATACATGGATGATAGCAATCTAATATCAAAGTCAAAACTTGGAATAGAGAATTACATGAAAATTGCTGATGAATTTTATGAAATCAATAACATCAAGGTTAATAAGAATAAATACATGTTAATATCAAACCAATGCAAGTCAGGCGAAGAAATTATATTAAACAATAATACCAAAATTAAAGCAACAGGGCCTAAAGAATCATTTCGTTTTTAGGTGTCTGGTTTAATTTGGATCAAAACAAAAAATATGTCAAAAACCAAGTTAAACAAGAAATATATAAAACAGTTAATATTATGAAATATAAAAGATTAACAGACAAGCAACTTGTATATATATTCAACAGTGTGGTTTTACCTAAAATTGAATATAAATTGCAAACAACTGTTCTAACACCAAATGAAGCAAATGATATGATGAAACCATACAGGAAATTATTTAAAAATAGATTAGGTATATCAAAAGATACCCCAAACCTAAACTTATCAAATAAAAAATTATATAATTTAATAGATTTACACCATCACCAAAGTCAGTGTCATATTAACAGTTTGTTTACAAAAATCAACAATCCAAATACACTGGGAAAAATAATAGAAATAAGATTGCATCAATTACAAACAGAAATATGGATTCCCCATTCACCTTTATCTATTAAATCATGGAATGATTGGCTATCTTCCAAAAAATTAAAAAATGATCTAATAGCAGCAGAATTAAATTTAATGCAACAAAATCATATAAACATCAAACATCATAATGAAGAATCCTTCTCAATCAAAGGAGGCAATACACCTTTATACACAATTCTTAAAGAATCATATTACAAAAATACAGCACCATTAAAAAATAGATTGATAATGTTCCTTGACCAATTAAGATCATATGATGGATCTTACTTATTGACATGGAAAGAGATCACTGATAAACATTTTAATAAAAAAAAATTTTCAAGGAAACCAAAATGGATGGAATCATTGGAAACTTCAGTTCTTCTAAATACTAATTCACAAAAACTAAAACCTCAATGGCCAAGTATGACAAACAATGTGCAGGAGATACAAATCCCATTAATGAACAATAGGAAAAAAGAATGGATTGGTGCATGGCCAACATGTGGATCTGAACTTGTATTAGGAAGAATAGAAAAAAAATCAAAAAATAACAAAATAAGGATAGAACATTGGAATCACCTCATTCAAAATATAGGAACTACCCCTACATCAAACCCTCCTATATTAATACAATGCCATGGATGTAAATACTCCATACCACAAGAAATTCA